TTCAGCACTAGCACCAGCACCCCTTTTAAGCCTGTAGAAATTGGAAGTCCTATTTATTTCAGCTCTTTTTGATGCCCTCCTCAAGCTTCCAGAGCTAATTAAACCCTCTTTTGTATTTTGCTAATATTTTGGCCATATGCTGGTATAGCATTTATTATGTGATACTCAAGTTTTTCACCTGGCTGCCGTTCCCCTTCCTTTTCAACCTGATCCTTGAACGTGTGTAACTTCTTGGGAACACACATGGCCTTTATTCTGAAAGCTGGCAATCGTATTTGCCTTTTCAGCCAGATAGTAAGCTGAGGCAGGATCTGTCTGTTCCTGGTAATACACATTGAGTAAGTTTTAGTTGTACTAATGAATTTCTTTATCCAATACCAGCACAGTCCCTGATACCTGTTATATATTCAATAAAATGTATTCAAAACATTTCACGGAGTGTACCTTATAAAAAGAACAGTGCAATAAGTCAAAGAGCATTTTGATTATAGGATTTCAAGTGTAGTAATGACTTAACCTTAATGAGTAAGCCTCTAGCAGGAATAAATACTCTTCCCTGTGTTAATACTGAAGCATCAGAGAATAAAGGTGATAAAGACTCAAGGACACGTATTCACGCTTAATAATTTGCAGTTGGTTTCACAGATAACACCAACACTGCCAGATGGCACATTGCTTTGGTCTCCTTTTCATTTTTCAGTAGATTTTAAGATGAGTATATGAGGTATAAATGAGGGTTAAGCCTCATTTGTTGAGCCCCTAGTTTGCCACGGCCACACTTCTGACCACAGCACACTTCTGAAACTCTACCGTGAATCTAAGATCCTGATGCCAATACTCCTTCAAGAGTTGTGATTTTTCAAAACAGAGGAAATGTTTTCTCTCATCATCATCAAATATTTACTGAGTGCCTACTCTGTAAAAGGCTTGGTGCAGAATACAAAGAATATTAAATTTATGTTTTAAAAGCTTTTTATCTTTCCTAGATTTTATGTACCTTTTAACAATAGTAAAAAGCAATCCACTTTCCTTGAAAGGTTCTTTGTGTTTTAAATACTGTAGAATAGGCTGCCTTTATAAATAGACATTAATGAAGGCACAGGGTTGCTGAGTCTCTATGGGGGCGGGGGTTGAGAAACTGCAGGCTGTGCCAACATAATCTATAGACTCCAACAAAGTCAGAAAACACTGAACAGCAGGCCCCAGTCTCTGGCCTAGGCACCGATCATTAAAAGGCACGTAAGTCATGATTCTGTGCATGATTCACAATCTCACATGGGTATGAGACTCCATTTATAGTCAGTTAAACCTTAAGCAAAGGTCTCTATTTAAGGCTACTTTCCAAAAGTCAAGGAAGTTGTAGCAGCAGGATTAAGCTATAAATCTAGGGATAATTCGAATTACAGTTTTCTGCCCAAATGTATGGGATCAAAGTATGCCTTTAGAGAATTTTCTTAGAAACCACTATTACACTAAAACACGTACATGCAGTGTATTCTGAATATGCTTAATAAAATATGAGGGCAATCAATACCAGCTATAGTACAAAATGACCTAAAGATGTAGAAGGTATAAAATAAATGTGGGTATCACCTCTTGAAATTCAGCTTTTTGCAAATTCATATGTAAATTAGATACCACGGATAATTTTGGAGTAAGAAGGCATCACATTTGTATGGAGAGCCTGCTATCTATGTACAAGGCACAAGACAGGGAAAAATCCATCATGAGCTTTATGCCCAAAGAACCAAGACAGAGTTAGGGCATGTGAAAAGATCTATGATAAAATGTAGGAAGCGGTAAGTGCCATAGGAAAATACAAGAAAAATACTGGGAGTTCAAAGAAGAATAGTATTTCTAGCCGCCAGTGTTTAGCTAGTAGAAATAAAGGGTGTTCATGCAACTGTGGAGAGCCAAGATCATTCCCAGAATGAGAACAAGGAACAGAGACAGGTGCCAACTGGCCAGTGAACACTGTTCTGTAATAATACAGGGAAGAGAAGAAAAAGGGTTCAGACAGGAGAAGGGTGGCATTTCCAGTGAAGGCGAGGGAAACTGGTAGAGGATTTTACTAAGGAAAAGGGACTCGATGTTGAGGCAGACTTCCAGCCAAGATAACATTTTCAATTGATATTTTGAGACTCCTCCATCTTCAGTCTGCTTCAAATAGAAAAATAAGAGCTATAATATGGACGAGAAAGTTACAGCTGTGATTTAAAAAAGAACATAAACATTTTCCATGTATCAGAAACAGAACCAAAATGCAAAACAGTAATCAGACCAAAGCCATATAGGTCCTGGGCTCTGAATGTGGAAGCAGAAAGACATGAACCAGGGTTCATCTCTTGTAGACTAGAGACTAACAGGGCTCCACATGTGGCTAGAGACAGGAGCCAGCCTTGTGGGAGACTGGCACCTGGGTGGCCTCCAAAAAGAAACCATTTTCCAATATTTGCACTCTTGTCTAATCCCCTCCCACACTGACTCTGGGCTTGGCCATGTCACTTGCTTGGCTGAGAGGACATCAATAAATGAGATGCAGCAAAAGTTTCATAAGTGCCTATGCACTGGGGCACGTCCTGTTGGCATCTTTCTTCTTGTAAGGCAGTGGCTATGTTGGGAAGAAGCTCAGCAAGATAATGATGAAAAGCCGCCTGGAGTATGAGTGACCATTCTGGGCCTTCCAGCAGCAGTTGAGTTCCCATTCACTGGTGACAAAATCAATGGAATAGTGTTATTAATTAGGTTATTATTTGTTTATTAAATAATTATTTACTAGGCACCTGCTATATGGAAGACATTGTTCTCACACTGAGGATTCTGAGTAAATGAGACCAAGTCCAGCTCTTGTTGACAGAATGAGCAAAGCCATTAAGCTCTTAATTGCCCCTGAACTGTTCCCTTCCTTAAAGGCCTTAACACGGATTATTTGTGTCATCTCCCCTATCAAGTATGTCAGACAGTATTTTCATCTCATCCAACTCTGACTGCTATGCTGTTCAATCTGTTTCCATCTCTAAAGGGCTTCTCACCACACTGCTCTAATCGCAGATTTATGATCTGTGCTGTCATAGTCATACAATTTCTGGCCTTGTGGCTTAATCAGGGACACCAGGCATTGCTGGCATTTATCGTGTTCGCTTTAAACTCTTGGGATTTCTCACATATTTTTATTTTGCAGCAAGTTGAGAATTTTCTGCCCACATTCCAAACCTATTCGTGTGATAAGTATTTCTGTGCCATGACCAGTGAATTCTAATAAGGCAATAGGCCAGTTACCCCACCCCCACCCTGAGGATCAGCCCCATCCCAGCTCAGACACCGCCTCAGGCCTCCAAGTGCAAATCTCCTGCTGGTTAGTGGACAGTTGGGTTTTAGAAGTACTAAAGCCAGATGAAAAATAGTTTTGTCCTAGCCCAGAATTCCCTCTAATATCTCCATCTAACTGGCAATTTGGAAACCAGAGCCACTAACCAAACATGTTTGAGCTGGCTTTAGCGCAGATCCAGGAATCCAGGATAATCCCAGAACTTCGCTCACAGTCCCCTTCTCTCCTTCCATGTAATCCTTTTAATTTGTAAAGTACCTTGTATTTTTCAAATTGTTTTCACTTACGGTAATTTCACTTAAGTGAAATGAGCAACTCTTGAGATGCAGGGAAATGAGATTATCACCCACTTCTGACAGGCAAGGAAGCTGAAGCTCTACGAGCTTGCTCAGCCTCAGAATGCTGTGAGGTGGCAGGGTCTGTCCTTAAATTCAGGCTTTTTCTGCTTGTCAGGGATCCAGCCTCTTTTTACCAAAGTGACTCCTTTAACTGTGCGGTGCTCCTTGGACTATCTGCAGCCTAGCTCCCAAGGGAGCTAAACAAAATACTGTGAAGGAAGAGAGGATGGTAGAAAGTGAATGAAGGGGGCTGAATGCCAGTCCGTGCTGTGTGCGCCCATGACGTGCCCAGGGGGCTAGCAAGCGTCTAGTATGACGCGAGTTAAGTGATGCGGTAATGATGGCGGCAGCACAGCGTGGACTGGCCCCAGGCCAGGGACCCAGAACTAAAGGCAGGAAGGGAGCAGAGCGCCTGGAGCCACCGGCCACAGAGAGCTTCAATGAAAGAGGGGAGAATTCATCAGCTATTTCGGATCCCAGAGAGAGGAGGGACAGGGACTTGGGCCAGGACCCAACAGTTGTACCATGCAGCATCACGAGAAACAAAACTATTTTGTTATACTTGTTTGTCATTATCTTTCTGCTTGCTATTGTACAGCTCCACACGGTCTGGCCTGAGAAACATGGGCTACACAAATTTGAAAGGATGGTTCCCAATTATAAGGAGGTCACAATGTAGTGGGGAGATAAATATGAACAGAACTATTTACAAAAGTGTGCAGTAAATGCTGTAATAGATTGTGTTTATCTATGCAAGATGCTGGGAGGGCATCAGCTTTTAAGTTATTTGCTACATAACTCAATTCTGCTAATGCTGCTAAACCCCCTCTGTTATACCAAATTTTCAGTAAAGTCTACGCCAGTCATCAACAAATTGTTTGTGGGAGTATTTTGGAGAAAAGCAAGGGTAAAAGGCCCATGCTTCCTTCCTGGGTAGCAGTGGAACAGAGAGAAGCATCCGCTGGCCAGGAGAATTGAGATGTCCATGAACTGAGAGCTGAGTGTGCAGGAACTTGAACCAGAGTTGGCCAGAAGAAACCAACTCTCAGAGATGTCCGGGCATCAGCAGGCAGATGGGGGGGCAAGTCGAGTTAAATTGAATATCAAAGGAAAGATTCCTTTCTTGCTGCTTTTTAGGTTACACTTAACAACATTTAGAATCTTAAACCTTCTGAGAGCTACGCCTTTGTTTTCCCCAAACTGCAAGTTTTGTGTGCCCACTTCTATCCCCATACTTCCAACTTCTAAATCCCTTTCTCTTTAAAACATTTTTCCTTTTATCATGAAATTTAGAGTGGTAGCATATTAAAAAACATAAAATTATATGGCTTGAATAATGGTGTTTATTTTCTTTATGTACATTTAAATATGAAACACACAGTAGTTCAGTCAACTCAAAACTACAAGCTGGACAGTAATCAGAAAATCAGTGCTCATCATACAAATCAAATCTGCATAAGAAAGAGTCAGAATAACTCAGAAGACAGTTGCAATTAGCAAAGGACCAGGAGACTATGCAAATTGCCTCCTCTTTCTGAGGAATTGATCACATGGCACCTTTTTCATTCAGCAAACGAAAAGGGATCACTCCGGTTCCATCCTCTCCATTCCTTGGGGTGCAGAGGCAGCTTCAGTTAGAAGACATCTGTCAGTGAGCCAGGGCGTCCTCAGCTTAATGGAAGGTTGATCTGGATTCACTGTGGTACTAAATAAAACAGATTTTTTCCTCCAACACCTGGGAAAAAACAGTCGCAGCAACTTGGCAGAGAAGCATGCTGTTTAAAATGACAGGCATGGGGGACTTGAGAACAAAGTTGAATCAAGGATTTCCTTGACCATGACGCCCACGGGCAGCCCTTTTCTCCTTTGGAAAGCGGCAATGCTTTGCACAGGCTGGTTTCCCATTTGCACATAGCCTGGCCTGAAAGGGACATCTGTCCTCACAGCTGTTGCAAAAGAAAATAAACATGAAAATTCAGAATCAAGGACGAAAGTCAAAGGAGTAACTATGTTCCGATTTGATTACATTTCAAAGTAAGTTTTCCAGATATGTATTTAAAATGTCAATATAAACTCCTGAATGTTCGGTTATCCCATGTGGAAACAAAATCTATTAAAGCCTGGTTGGTAGCCTCTAAGTGTTCTTTTCATCAGTAAATTTCTTGCTACATAAATCTACCAACATCTCCTTCCTCACTTAAAGCAAACATACATGAACATATATTGAGACAGACTGAGCCAAAGAGTCTGCTGATCTGAAACCATGCCCCAAATTGTTTAATTCTCATCAATTTCCTTTTTTCTCAAGATCCATAAGCCAGCAACAACAGGTGGGCTTTTCTTGATTTCACAGTTAATCATCACTCCATACACTCTCACTTATGCCTTAGTTGCCAAATTTCTGTTCTACTATCAAAAAGGGGCTTGGGCATTAAAAAAAAAACTGGCTCAATAAGGAATCTCATTGAATCAAAATGGCATTTACATTAAATGTCAATGAATCAAGTTAAGGTGAAGTGCAAAGCCACTGACCTGCAGGTGTCTGGGTGAAATATCTTGTGCTTCTGGCAGCAGCTCTCCAGACTTTCTTGGCACTCAATGCAACTGCAGTTTTCTGGGTGCTGGATGAGGTCTTCGGGGCAGGGCGTCTTACAGATGCACTCACAAAGGTCTTCGTCAAACTTCATGTGCGGCCCGCAGAGAGCCAGTTCCTGGACATGAGAGTGGTCTAAACGAAAATACAAGAGTCTTGCTTGAATGGCTGTAGCGTGGATAATGTGATGACCAAAGATGGATGATCACCAAAGTCTACATCATTCTCAAGGAGCTCAGGTAGCTTGGGACCACCTCACCTCCTTTCCTGTAGATGTGTGACCCTCATCTTTTCTCAGGGTGAAGGAGATTCTCCTCTGATTTCACAATACAAATACAGAACCCTTCTGTTCTCTCAAGTTGGTGGTGGAAATGTTTTTTTAAGCTGAATATTTTTATAAGATTTTAAAGAGATTTCGAGGTTGGCGACTTGTTAAAAATGCAAACTTTTTGGACAAAGATTAAAGATGGCAGCGTGAGAGTGAGATAGGCTTTCTCCTAAAACTGCAAACAATTCGAAAATATAGTTGGTGCAACTAATCCTGAGAGAGTAATAGGAAAGAGGACGGCATTAGACTGCATACAGCTGGAGAAAAGAGCAGACCTCACAGAACAGGGTAACATACCAAAGCTGTGGCCCAGCTGGACCCGAGCCCTTCCGCCACCTGAGCAGACCAGCGAAAGGAAGAGAAATGGAGCAGGTAGGGAGTGGAAGGCCTGGGACTGCTGAATACTTAGCTCCAAAGATCTGCTCTGGGAGCACAAACCTACATTTCATGGTGCTTTCAAGATACTCACGTGATTATGGGGTTGGAAAGTTAATACAGGCAGAGTTCCTGGGGAGACTGGGATTCCAGCCACTTGTGGAAAGCAGGGATCCATATACGGCTGCTCTGGGACAGAAGCTTATACTTGTGTGCTCGGCCCACTGGTTCAGGCAGTGGAGACAGGCACAGCAGCCCGGAAGCAGGAAACAGCTCTTTCCTCCCCTCAGGCACCAATACCGCTCCCTTGTGACGCCTGACATTGCTTCAGGGGCTGAGCAGCTTCAGAGAGTAGAGCTTCTGGACACTAGAGGGCGCCATGTACAAATATGAAACACCAAAAGAACCTGGTCCAGAGTAAAATTAATGTAACTCGGGAGAAAGATTTAAATGACATGGACCTTATGACTCTTCCTGAAACGGAGTTAAAAATAAAAATCATCAACATGCTAATGGAGGTATGGAAAGATATCCAAGAACTCAGGAATGAATTCAGGTTGGAGATCCAATCGTTGAAGAGCACAATGGAGGGTATTAAAAGCAGCTTGGATACAGTGGAGGAGACGATAAATGAAATAGAAACTAGAGATGAGGAATACAAAGAAGCTGAGGCACAGAGAGAAAAAAGGATCTCTAAGAATGAAAGAATATTGAGAGAACTGTGTGACCAATCCAAATGGAACAATATTCACATTACAGGGATACCAGAAGATGAAGAGAGAGAGAAAGGGATAGAAAGTGTTTTGAGGAGGTAATTGCTGAAAACTCCCCCAATCTGGGGAAGGAGATAGTCTCTCAGAAAATGGAGATCCACAGGTCTCCCAACACAAGGGACCCAAGGAAGACAACACCAAGACATATAGTAATAAAATTGGCAAACATCAAGGATAAGGACGGACTATTAAAAGCAACCAGAGAGAGAAATAAGATCACATACAAAGGAAAGCCCATCAGGCTAACATCAGACTTCTCAGCAGAAACCTTAAAGGCCAGAAGGGAGTGGCACGATGTATTTAATGCCATGAAGCAGAAGGGCCTGGAACCAACATTACTTTATCTGGCAAATTTATCATTTAAATTTATCATTTAAATTTTCAGGAGGGATTAAACAATTTACAGATAAGCAAAACCTGAGAGAATTTACCTCCCACAAACCATCTGTACAGTCTCTTTTGGAGGGACTGCTATAGATGGAAGTGTTCCTAAGGCTTAACAGCTGTCACCAAAGGTAATAAAATCACAGTAAAGAAAGTAGAACAGCTAATTACTAAGCAAATGCAAAATTAAATTAACTATCCCAAAGTCAATCAAGGGATAGACAAAGAATACAGAATATGATACCTAATATGTAAAGAATGGAGGAGGAAGACAAAGGAAGAGAAAAAGAAAAGAACCTTCAGACTGTGTTTGTAACAGCATATTAAGTGAGTTAAGATAGACTCTTAGATAGTAAGGAAGGTAACCTTGAACTTTTGGTAACCACGAATCAAAAGCCTGCTATGGTAGTAAGTACATACCTATCAATAATCACCCTAAATGTAAATGGACTGAATGCACCAATCAAAAGACATAGAGTCATTGAATGGATAAAAAAACAAGACCCATCTATATGCTGCTTACAAGAGACTCACTTTAAACCCAAAGACATACACAGACTAAAAGTAAAGGGAGGGAAAAAGATATTTCAGGCAACTAACAGAGAGAAAAGAGCAAGAGTTGCAGTACTTGTATCAAACAAAATAGACTTCAAAACAAAGAAAGTAACAAGAGACAAAGGGGGACATTATGTAATGATAAAGGGGTCAGTCCAACAAGAGGATATAACCATTATAAATATATATGCACCCAACACAGGAGCACCCACATATGTGAAACAAATACTAACAGAATTAAAGGGGGAAATACAATGCAAAGCATTCATTCTAGGAGACTTCAACACTCCACTCACTCTGAAGGACAGATCAACCAGACAGAAGATAACTAAGGAGACAGAGGCACTGAACAACAGAATAGAACGGATGGACCTGACAGACATCTACAGAACTCTACACCCAAAAGCAACAGAATACACATTCTTCTCAAGTGCACATGGAACATTTTCAAGAATAGATCATATACTAGGCCACAAAAAGAGCCTCATGAAATTCAAAAAGATTGAAATTGTACCAACCAGTTTCTCAGACCACAAAGGTATGAAACTAGGAATAAATTATGCAAAGAAAATGAAAAATCCCACAAACACATTTAGGCTTCACTACATACTCCTCAATAACCAATGGATCAATGACCAAATAAAAACAGAGATCAAGCAATATATGGAGACAAATGACAACAACAATTCAACACCACAAAATCTGTGGGACACAGCCAAGGCTGTGCTAAGATGAAAGTATATTGCAATACAGGCCTACCTCAAGAAAGAAGAACAATCCCATATAAGCAGTCTAAAAGCAGTCTAAAGTCACAATTAATGAAACTAGAAAAAGAACAACAAATGAGGCCCAAATTCAGTGGAAGGAGGGACATAATAAAGATTAGAGCAGAAATAAATAAAATAGAGAAGAATAAAACAACAGAAAGAATCAATGAAAGCAAGAGCTGGTTCTTCCAGAAAATAAACAAAATAGATAAACGCCTAGCCAGACTTATCAAGAAAAAGGGAGCCTACTCACATAAACAGGAATGAGAGAGGAAAAATCACTACGGACACCACAGAAATACAAAGAATTATTAGCAAATACTATGAAAAATTATATGCTAACAAACTGGATAACCTAGAAGAAATGGACAACTTTCTAGAAAAATACAACCTTCCAAGGCTGACCCAGGAAGAAACACAAAATCTGAACACACCAATTACCAGCAATGAAATTGAATTGGTAATCAAAAACCTACCTAAGAACAAAACTCCTGGACCAGATGGCTTCACTGCTGAATTTTATCAAACATTTAGTGAAGCCCTAATACCTATTCTCCCTAAAGTTTTCCAAAAAATAGAAGAGGAGAGAATACTTCCAAACTCATTCTATGAGGCCAGCA